GCCCATTTCTGTCCTGGCTTTCTTCCTGCGGGTCTTCACTCTGTTGGGAGACACCAGGGTCTTTGACACAGGGTCACCCTTTGAGGCTAGAATGAGTGACTAGGGAAGGTCAAGGGTGGGGCAAGACCAGGAGCCTTTATAACAAGACTTTGGAACAAGGTTTTCTCCCATACCTCCTGATTCAAACCTGGCTCAGTGGCTATGAGCTGGATTCTCACCACCGCGGCACCCCTTACCCTTGCTCCTGGCCCTCACACACCCCCCCCCCCAGGTCCCTATTCTCTACCTCTGGCTCACACCTGTCCCATCTCACACAAAATAAATCAGGCAGAGACAGCCAGCCAGCAGTGCAGTGACACTGGCTCCACCGACGGCCGCCCCAACCACATCTGCCCTCGTTCTTGGTTCCCCTGCAGACGAGAGACACATGAGTGAACTCCAAGCTTGATGAGAGTATCCCCTCTTCTCAAGCATGAAGAGATGGGTGCCCCTCTCCCCCCATCCTGGGCTGAGCAACTAGGTCCTCCAGAACCATGGCGTGAAGAACACGGTCTACGTGACATCTCCTATCCAGTCCCCACACTCCTGTGCAGCAAACCTCATCTTTTCTAGGACCTGGGTTCTTCTCCATCTAGGGTTTCTCTGCCACAGACACCAGACCTGGCTGCAGCAGGACCTTGAGCCTCAGTGTCCCATGGGCACTCCAGAGAGAGACACACACAGAGCGCTGTGGGTTGCCGAAAGACCTGTCTCTTCTTCCTTCTGAGAAGGTGTCAGAATCTTCTCTCCTGGCCTCCACTGGCCCTGTCACTCAGGGTCAAAGGTGGTTTTTTGTGCCTCCAGAAGAAGGTGAAATCTAGGAGGTTCTCAGACCTTCAGGTGAGACCCAGACAGCTTTCCTGGTCTCATCTGGCCATGCCTCCCAGGAGCCCTGGGGTCAGGGATGTGTCTCTGAGCATCACCTGTTACAGTCTGATGGAACTGCTGACAGAGTCCTAACAGGGTCACTGATCATGGGTCGGGGGTGGGGACCAGATGCCATCACCAATGGGAATAGGGCAGGAGGAGGATAGGGCTCCAGAGACAGGTCAAGGTGAGGGCCAAGGGGTGGGCAGGCAAAAAATAGAGATTATCAGAGAAATAAAACTGCTCTGCATGACACTATAATGGTGTACACATGTCATGATACAATGTCCAAGCCCATCGAGTATACAACACCAAGAGTAAACCGTAATTATGAGTTTTAGTTGACAATGATGTGTCAGTGTAGGTTCATCAATTGTACAAATGTCCCCTCTGGTGCGGGATGTGCATGTGAGGGAGGATGTAACTGCTTTAGGGGAAACCTCTCTACCTTCTGTCTCCTGCTCAATATTGCTGTGAATTAATAACTGCTCTTAAAACTAAAGTCTACTCTAAAATGCCCCAAGGCATTTGTAACTGGGGGAAGATAAAGAGCATCTGTAAGGGTGGGCAGAGGAGCTTGTGGTCACTATGCCCAGACAGTGGTTGGAGGGTATTGGGGAAGAGATCTGATAGGGGTGCTCATGTTTAACTGAACCCAC